GCTGCAGTTCCCCCGAGGGAAGGAGAGGGTAGGACATGCATAGGAAACTCTGTGCAAACCTGGGACCAAGCATCAGGCTATTTCTCCCTTTGGACTCTAGGCTTGGGGACACAAGGCAAGGCCAAGTATCTGCAGTCCTGGCAACACACTTTGCCAGGCCCTGGTCAATATGGGAGGGGGAGGGAGGAGGGAGAGAGTGTGTGTGAGAGAGAAGTGCTTGGCTCCAGACACCAGAAGGGACAGGGGCAACAAGATCTCAGCACCCCTGGATTCTGCTATTACTTTCTCCATCCAGCCCTCACCAGTGCCTGGACCACACTGCATGGGACTCCAGCAGTGTTTTAGTGGGCCCAGGACTCTGGCCATCACAGTAGCAGCCCGGAGCTGTGGGCCCTTTTAAATTACCAGGCCCCAGAGCAACTGTCTCCTTCCTTGCCTCTGCTCTCCATCCCACTGTCAGCTCTGCGTGTCTGGGATAAGAGGAGCCACGTGGTTGGGCTCTAGGAACAAGGGGATGCAGGTATCTGGGCAGGGAGGACCTTGCAGCTAGGCTGGGGGAGGTGGCGGAAGAAGATGGTTAGTATGTATTGGCGGGAGGGAGGGGGGCGTGACTGGACTGAAGGGCAGGAGATGATTGTGGATGTCAGGCTGGGATCAGGTGTGTGGATGGGGCAGAAAAATCAGGAGCTAGGTTGTCATAAGCATTTCTTTAACCCTCGGTTTCTGGGGGAAATATTGTGTGTACCTGTATTGTTACACACATACTTTCTGAAAGTAATTTTGAAATAAATTACCAAAATAATTAAAACTGGTGTGATGATTATGCAGTGTTATTTTGACAAATAAAATTTATAGAACTTTAAAATATTGTTCACAGAGGGGTGGGTGGGAGACACCAGTCCCCTATGAGTAGCACATGCTCAGTAGAGACTTCTTAACTACATTCTCCAAAAACTTCACCTATACTAAGCATGAACTTTTCTCTCACAGCACTTGCGATGCACGGATTACACATGCACCAACCCACAAAGCAAATGAGTATGCTCAATCCTAGGGCTACAGGAGGAGTAAGATTTTCCATGCACCTGCTCTTCCCAATAGTGGGGTATTCACTATGATGGCAAGTATCAGTATTGAGATAGCAGCTTCCAGGATTATTCAGCACACAGGAAAGACTGGCATCGAGGAGGAAGAGGAAACAGTCGTCACACTAGAATGCAGAAAAGGTAAGAAACAACAATGGCGAGGGGGATATGGGAAGGAAGAGGGGCTCAATTCCTCAATTCCTACTAACAGCACATTCCTCTACAGAATCTGCAGTTTCTCAGACGTCTGTATTCCTCCTGCTGTCAGCAAACAGCTACAAAACCCACTGGCAAAAGTACACCTCATCTCCTCCTAATCATGGGCCCACACAGAACAGTGTGCTATTGCTGCCAATTACACCTTTAGTTCAAGTCTGTGCTGTGGATCTAAAGATCTGACCTCTGCTGATGACCCAAAAGTTGCAGGTCAGGAGGCTCCACGCGAGGAAATTTGTTTTTCAGGTTCTCTCAAATGAGGAAATTACTAACAAACATTCCTCCCTCCCCCCCGCCCAAAACCTATGAAGCTGAGCATTCAAAAGTTAAGAAGACAGAATTAAGGTTGCTTGTGCCCCCTTAATTCAGTATCCTTGTGCAGATGCATTAGGAAAAGTCTTTGATCACACATTTGTCCCTCACAGGACCCCTGCTTTATTGAGTGTAAAGATTCCTAGAGCCTATCTAGGTCACATAATAAAAGCACATGTAAATGGAGAGGTGGAACTGTGTCTGTTAGATCCCTGAGTAAGTTGGATGTCTTTTAATGACTGGGATGATATTGTAGGAAGGAAAAATAAATGGTGTCATTATTTCAGCCATCTGAATGCAGTTCTGGAGCATTAAATTGTATCACTGCCAATGTTCCCTCTATTTTTGCAGAATAAAAAACAGTTACATACCTTCTTGTAACTGTTGCTCTCCGAGATGTGTTGTTTATGTGCATTTCAATTAGGTGTGTGCGTGTGCACAGTGGACAGAAGATTTTCCCACAGCAGCACATGTAGATTTGGCCTGGACATCCTCAAGTTGTGCCTCCATGGCACCCAATATAGCACACTAGCAAGGCAACAGGGGAGGGCCCAAGGTGACAAGATGTCCACCATTGGGTCTGTCTCTTTCATTACCTCCTCCGCTTTAATACCCAAACCCTGCACAAACCTACATAGGAGTTGCTGGAGTACCTTAATATTCTCGATTACTGGCACTACTACAGCACCAGCTAGTGCTTCATCCAGTGAAGATGAAAGACAAAAAGTACTATGATTGGAGTACGGTCCCTGCCATCAGGACCTGGACCTTTGACATGGTCATCAGGTGTGCGGGGGAAGGAGATTGATACAGGAAGGCTGGGTAGAAATAAATAAATAAAAACATATCTGACCAAAATGCTTTGCTTACTATACTAATAGCTAACTGCTAGAGGATGAAAACCTTGGCGTGGGACTGCTGAGTTCCATCTCAGGCCGGGGACAGTAGAGAAGGAACTGAGGAGACAGGCCGCGCATGCATGCAACTGAAGTATGATTGGCACAAGGCAGGAACTGCGCATGCACAGGAGCGCTCTCAAGGCCATCTCTTGAAGTGAGGTCATTATTAAAAACTGAGACATGCCTAGATGAACTTAAAGAAAATGAGATGTTTATAGTGGCAGCATGGCTCATGGAACAGGTGATAGTAGTAGAAGTTACCACATGAGGTGAAACTCAAATGTACATCTTAATAGGACTAAACTGAGGGGAGAGGAGGGGAGAGGGAGAACAAATAATCTCCATTCAAGAATATTAAAGTAACTGCCACATGAAATGGCAAAGGCCTATAGCAAGGATTTCTAATGAATCTATAAGCTGGGGACATATGCTATGCCTGGAGAATTGCCAATACTGTCCCTATTTTCAAAGAGGGAAAAAAGTGACCTGGGAAATTACAGGCCTGTTAGTTTTATCTGACTTGTATGCAAGGTCTTGAAACAAAATTTTGAAAGACAAAATAGTGAAGGATGAAGTAGTTAATGGTAATTGACAGGGCTCGACAATCGCAGCGAAAGCCATTTGCCAGCCCCGCACCGCGCATGCGCGAGACCCGCACTGCGCATGATAAGGCGAGTAGATAAGCGTATATGTCAAGCCCTAGCAATTGAGATAAAATAGAACATGCTTTTATAAGAGGCAGACCACACCAGACTAGCCTGATGATCGCCTTTGAGAAAATAACTGATTTTTTTAGATAAAGGGAATGCAGTAGACCTAATGTACCTGGATTTCAGAAAGGAATTTGATACCATTCCACATGGGAAGTTACTAAATTGGAAAAGGGGATTAAGAAAAGAAATGAAAGATGGATAAAGAACTGGCTAAAGGGGAAACTACAAAGGGTCATCCTGAACTGTGAGGCTGGAGTAAAGTTCCTCTGGGATCAGTCTTGGGATTTGTCTTATTTAATTTTAGGAAAACATAGCACACATTTCAGACACTGCTCTTTCCCAACAAACCAAGTACAATAAGCTGAACTTAATAAAGGGACCTGCACCTGATCTTGAATTCTCAGGACAGGCAAACAGACATTCAAAAAACAGTCAGCATTTCATTGTGTGTGCTCCCCTGCATACATTTTCCTGGCTCTAGACATTTATAGGACTCCTATCTCAACAATATCCAGGTGACTAAAAAGCGTACACTGCTACCTTGAGCCATGAATCTCTGGTTTAAAGAGACAAAACACTTTCCCCATGGTGTCAGTTCACACTTCCCTCAGCTAACAGTAATCACAGGTGCATATGGTCATTTGTGATTTTTTCAGGGAGGCTTTTTTGGAGAATGCTTGGGAGTCAGAGGTGGCACAAGACTGGCAACAGAGATACGGTTCTCTCATGTCAAAGAATCTGAAGTAAACGCCTCAAAGAAAAAAGTGTCAAGATTTAGTAATGCTTCCAAAATAGGGGGAAACTTGGCCATTAGTGACTAAGCCCCACATACAATGGCCAAGCTGTCATGGTAAATACTTGTAGGATGACTGACATACTGCACTATCACTTGCAGGCTAATGTGCATGAAGCTACTCTCAACTATGGCAGGCTCTGGAGTGTGGTTCTCCAGCATATACGCCTCAGGTGAAAGAAGGCTGATCAGATGTCTTGATATTAATCAGGACCCCTTGGATATTAGAGGCTGTGTCTTATATAGACAACCTATTACTCCCTCCTCTATCCCAATTTTTCCACACACTTACTATTTGGTCACCCTTTGGTGACAGAGGGAGAAAGGAGTCTGTATTCCGTGGTCTGTGCTATGGGGTCAATTCTCTTCAGAGGCAGAATTAGGGCTCCCTATTGTGTATGCTCATGCTTTCCCAGACGCCACCATTTGATACAAAGTGGAGTTTTGTGAAAGGGAACAGAGTTCTGTGCCAGATAGGAGAGGAAAGAGGCCTGTGTCTAGAAATGGGTTTTCTGACTTGCAAAGGTTGGGTACATGTGTGTGAAGTGGGGAGGGGCATGCCCTGACACTGGGAAAGTAAGGTGAGAGGTTAAGAATGTGGAAGTGTTTCATTCTGTAGAAGGCATTCCGGCCCCATGCCAGCCAGCCTTATAACAAGACAAACAAACACACACAACTTCTCTAGCACCACACCCTTGAACCAGAAATGTTTCTATTTCATTTCAAAATAGTATCAAACTTCCAAGACGACTGAGGCAGGTCACCTCTTTCTCTACAGCACCACCAATCCTTTTGGGCCCCAACAATGCCATTCAAACATCTCATTTGTGGATTGAGTGCATACAATTTCACTTGAGAGATTTTACAGTTTACAGGATCACCTCTCTTCCTCAAGCTCATAGTCTAAAGCTCAGAGACAAAAAATGCACACATTACAAAATAATCAGATTACCACAAACTAAATTTAACCACATGTTCTCACCTCAGCAGGTTTCTTTTGTTCATTTCCTGGAGTTTTCGATTTGCTCCTGTATTTGGAACAGGAGGAAAAGGAAGTGGAAGGACCTATTGAAGAAAAAAAAAAAAAAAAGAGTTTAGTTGTAACCCACTGAATTTCACACGTTTCCTCAACATATTGCAAGGCACTACAGACTTGAATCATCTTTCTGGGCCAGCTATATAAACTCATGAAGTCTGAGACTAGGCTGACGTCAGACTTACAATAAGTCTAGTTTCAGAAGGAATAAGTGAAAAAGTAATCACTGGAGTATTCTGTGCTCTGCCTGATACACACCAGGTGTGAGCAAAGAGGACAATTATGCAGATCCTTTCCCTTTCTACCCAATGCAGTCAATACTGGAGGGATCAAGAGTATAGGAGGTCCCAGAGAGTTTAGAGAATCAAGATGGTGTTAAACTGAAGTACAGAGATGCAGTAACGGTAATTTTTGTGTACGTTTTTAAGAAGATTCTCAATTAATATATGACATATCATGTTTCCATGAACCATAAATGCAACATAAGCTACTTCTAATGTCAGAGACTTCTGTAATGCTTAACAAAAAGTAGATCAGTCACTGTCCTGAAGGGTTTACACAATTTGATCTAGGGCTTCTGGATTCACATCTTGGTGTCTTGAAGGAAAAGACACAAAAATATAAATGAATGAAGTGTGCGCCAAGGAAGTTAAGACAAAGTTTAAGGCATTTGGTAGATATCTTCTCCATTTAGAGCTCAATCCTGCAAGCTAATCCTCATGGGTAGAATCTTGCATCCGTGTGGAGCCCAAGTGCATTTATATAAAAGCTAAGAAAAATATGCCCCACTTATCTCTAGTAACTCAAGTGCAAAAATATCTTAAAGTGAAGCATTTTAAGATAACTAACTACATGCATTCCTCCCACAAACAGTTCTTTACCCTTACAATTTTTTTCCACTGAGGCTCTGACTATGCACATAGATCAGCTTACAGAATTAGGCCTCCTAATACACAGTACACACAAAAAATATTTGACTACATCCAATTTCCCTGTGTTATGGAATTTTCTCTGAAAAGGAAAGATGTACACATTTATGTTTTAATTCTGCTCAGGAATCAAATTCTCTTCCTGAAATTATCAGGCATTGTAATATCATCTCTAACAGAATTCGAAAATACTTGAAATCTAGAAAAAGCAAGAGAGGAAAGGAAATGAAACTTTTTTTTTTTTTTTAAAATAAGAGGTATAACAGTTTGGCCTCAAACCACAGGAGGAAACCATGAAGGGGTGACAGGACCAAGGGAAGATTAATGCATACTACTTACTCTCATTGTCTGAACTCTCACTGGTGCTTAGATGCCTGTGGCGTTTCATCCTGACGCATCCTAAAGACAGAAAAAAAAGTTGATACCGTCCATTCTCCCAGGCAATGGACTTGCTTACAAACTTCCCCTCAGTTTGGGCTATGGAGGGTGTGAATAGCAGTGCACAACAAACTGCTGCACTGTAACTCTTTGTGCCCACAGCATCCACATGGCAGTTCCTCATTTGCCTCAGTTCTGTTTCAAGATGATTACATTAATAAAAATAGGAACCTTTTCATTTGCATCTGCGGCATTAACTTCAGTGCACACTGCAATTCACAACCACATAGTTGAGTGGCGTTTTGTACTGGTGACCACTTTCACATAACAAGCCTCTCACTGTGCCCCCCTTTAAATATATAAAAAGTGTCTGCAAGTTCTAAGACATTATAAATGCTGGAGGCAAAGTAGGATTTGAGGTGGAGGCTGACAGCTCAGAATGCCCCCCCATGTAATATCCTCGTGAACTCCCAAAATATCCAGACACCAAGTTTGAGAACCCCTGCCATAGTCTAAACTGCAGGGCAGCAGAGAGATACTCAAAGTATCTGTGGATCCTGCTAGTTCATAGACGGCTAGTCGCAGACAAGAGAGGATTTCTCCTAATAGTTTTTTCCAGTATGTAAATACCTTGTGATCTAGCAATAGTTAATCACAAACAAAATGCTGGGGCCAGGCACACACTGCTCTATTTATGAGATTTAGCCACAGAGTTAGCCACAAACAAAATGTCTCCTTCAGCCTCTTTTTAGAAGCAAGCTCAACCCGCTGATTTTCAGAGCAACACTGGTTGCTTTCTACATCCCATCTGATCAGCCAGAGGAAGAGTTGCCATGGTGGCAGTTGCTAGTCGAGTGGGTAGAAGCGCAGAAATAAGATAGTACTGGAGTACGAGGGGGAGACACATGTTAAATGGTTAATTGGTATGCTTACCGGTTAACCAGTTGACCAGCCCTGGACAGAAAGATCTGCTGGGTAGCCAGACGAGCTGAGCAGGAACAGCTCTGGCCACAAAGGGGCTTGTGGGCTGAACAACAAGACCCACTGGTCAGACTGCAAGGCCTAAGGTTACATGGTTAACCATTCTTATGTAACCAGTTAGCCATTTTAACATCTCTAGTAAAAATCACCTTTAGAAAAAAGAATTCACGATTGTATGAGTATGTGGGGGTAGATTTTAAATTGGGGTATTCAGACAACACTGAAGTCTAGTCATTCAAATGGTTACACGAGAGCTTTATTTTAAAAGTAAGCTTACATGCCAAAAGTGCCCTTTCAAACATCTGAAAAGCGACAAGGTGTCAATAATAATTTTATGACACCATTGCTGGTTTCATAACCAACATTTGGAACGCTGATATTTAAAAAGATTAAAAGCCAAACAAAAGAAGCAGAGCAGAAGAAAAATCGGACCCAAAAATAGAGAGGAGAGAATTAGTTAAAGTACTGTATCTGACATTCCAATCGAAGTGTCAGCATAAATCCATTTAGATTTTTACAGGTCTATATGCCCCCCTGTAATAAAGATATAACAGTTGACTGAAGCCATAGCCTTCTCACAAAATTAAATGCTTTTGACATCTAAACTGGGAATCTGCACCTCTGTATCCTAATTCTTCACCAAGCTAACTGAAAGGCAACTGCTCCATATTAAATGTTTGTCATACCAGAACTGCTTGTCCATACTGTAAGCTTATTTTTAAATTAAAGTAGTGTTTACAGGAAGAAAGTTTTAAAACGATTAGCACAGTTTGATTCAGATGAAAACTTATCAATGGTTCTTGGGATTTTCCTTGAGATAAAGCTCCCTGTTATCTGGAAATCCTGTTTAGAAGACTTTGAAGATACCACGTTGGGATTTATAGAAATATTTCCAGTGAAATTGTTATATTACTCAAAATCTCCATTAGTTTTCAGTTTAAGGGTTTTGTAGCAAGGGGGCATGGCCTCCAAAAGCAACAGGAGGGGTGGCCAATTACACCTTGCCGGGAGAAGTCAGGCTACCCATCGCCACTACCGGAAGGAGGAGATCAGAAACTACAGAAGGCGGGCTCTGCAGCTTAATCAGGCTGCATCTGGCAAAGGGGGCTGGGGGGGGGGGAAGAGAGACACCTGAAGCAGGATGCTGAGGAGGACCTCTGTTGCCCCAAGAACTTGTCTGAGCTTCCAAAGTGTTCCATCACTCTAGACACCAAGGAGCTGCAGAGACTATCATTGGCCATGTATTCTAGGGAGACAGTGGATGACTCATGGAAGTAGGTACACCCCTCAAGAGGAGAAGCAGCTGCAGAGGGACAGCCGACAGTAGCCTGGCTGCAGTGCTGCCTGAAGACAGGTTAGTGCCATGGCTGGATTCCTCATTGACCCAATGGTGAAGCACGGTGCCACTATTCGGGCCCTGGGCTAGGGCCCAGTGAACAGGGGAGCAGGAGATCAGGACAGTTTCCTGTGAGGAGAGATTCAAATGCTGCCTAGCTGATTAGCAGAGTGCCCACAGATAAGTGGTTGTTTCTACCAGTGCACATTCAAAAATGCCTCTGCACATAAAAAAAATTATTCCACAAATGAATGGAAAAATATTAAAGAAAACATTGGCAAGGAGGCCTGTATTAGTCTACAGTTCATCAGAGCTAGGACACGAGACTACCCCCAGCTCTGCCCTGACTGAAGGCCAAAATGTCAGACTACAGGCGACCCCCGACTTAAGACTGCCTGACTTACGACCCCCCACGTTTGACCATTTTTTTCATGAGATGGCTCCTAAAAACACCCAAATTTACATCCGCAGCTCGCATTTATGACGGTGTAAAATGCAGACTCCATGCATCATTAAAAGCAAGACAATGACCAAGGAGGTACCTGAGCCTTTAGCTATCATCTCTGAAAAATCATAGAACACAGCAGAGATTCCAGAAGACTGGAAAAGGGCAAATATAGTGCCCATCTATAAAAAGGAAAATAGAAACAACCCAGATCAGTCAGTTTAACTTCTGTGCCAGGAAAGATAATGGAGCAAGTAATTAAGGAATTCATCTGCAAGCACCTGGAAGATAACATAAGTATCAGTCAGCATGGATTTGTAAAGAACAAATCGTGTCAAACCAATCTGATAGCTTTCTTTGATAAGATAAGTCTTGTGGATAAGGGAGAAGCGGTGGATGTGGTATACCTAGACTTTAGTAAGGCATTTATGCTGTCTCGCATGATCTTATCAATAAACTAGGCAAATACAACTTAGACGGGACTACTATAAGCTGGATGCATAACTGGCTGGATAACTGTTCTCAGAGAGTAGTTATTAATAGTTCACAATCCTGCTGGAAAGTCAGAACAAGAGGGGTTCCGCAGGGGTCTGTTTTGGGACCGGTTCTGTTAAATATATTTATCAACAATTTAGATATTGGCATAGAGAGAACGCTTATTAACTTTGCAGATGATACCAAGCTGGGACTGATTGCAACTGCTTTGGAGGATAGGGTCATAATTCAAAATGATCTGGACAAATTGGAGAAATGGTCTGAGGTAAATAGGACAAATACAAAGTACTCCAACTCCACTTAGGAAGGAACAATCAGTCTCACACATACAGAATGGAAAGTGACTGTCTAGGAAAGAATACTGCAGAAAGGGATCTAGGGGTCATAGTAGATCACAAGTTAAATATGAGTCAGTGTGACGCTGTTGCAAAAAAAGCAAACATGATTCTGGGATGCATTAACAGGTATGTTGTGAGCAAGACACGAGAAGTCATTCTTCCGCTCTACTCTGCACTGATAAGGCCTCTGTTGGAGTATTGTGTCCAGTTCTGGGCACCACATTTCAAGAAAGATGTGGAGAAATTGGAGAAGGTCCAGAGAAAGGCAACAAGAATGATTAAAGGTCTAGAGAACATGATCTATGAAGGAAGACAAAGAACTGGGCTTGTTTAGTTTGGAAAGGAGAAGACAGAGGAGACATGATAGCAGTCTTCAGGTATCTAAAAGGGTGTCCCAAGGAGGAGGGAGAAAAATTGTTCTCCTGGGCCTCTGAGGTTAGGATAAGAAGCAATGAGCTTAAACTGCAGCAGGGGAGATTTAGGTTGGACATTAGGAAAAACTTCGTAAGTGTCAGGGTGGTTAAACACTGAAATAAGTGGCCTAGGGAGGCTCTGGAATCGCCATTACTGGAGATATTTAAGAGCAGGTTAGACAGACATCTATTGGGGAAGGTCTAGACAGTACTGGGTCCTGCCATGAGGGCAAGGGACTGGACTTGACCTCTCGAGGTCCCTTCCAGTATTAGTGTTCTAGGATTCTATGATGATCTCAAAACAGGAAACACACAAGGTCAGACTCGCCAGTCTGCAGCTGCTGCTTGAACTGCACATGCCTCTTCCACATCAGTCTTCACTTTTTTGTTATTTTTGTGCATTATTTGAACTACTTAGTTTAGTTTTCCTCTATTTCCATAGTCAATTTTGGTATTTTTAGGGTATGAAATGGGTTTCCAGGAATGGAACCGCCATTTATAACATTGCGCCTATGGATAATAAGGGTTCGATTTATGACGGCTTGACTTACAACAATTCTCCAGGAACCAATTAGGTCGTAAGTGCAGGGGTCACCGGTACATGGTATGCACTCTGCCCAAGGGCGTGGGCCCCTAAACTATTCACTACTCTGCCCTTCCTGAGGTCAGAGCTCTTACATTGGTTTGTGTACAATACTGTTTGGTACCCTTCCCTGACTTAGGGCTTGACTCCCTGATTGACTATTCTGCCCTGTTGGAGAGCCAAAGCCCTAGATTTAATGGAGGCTCCCTCTTGCCTGAAACTTGATCCCCTCTCCCCAGCCAGATTACTGCACAGCCCCACTTAGAGATCCTGGACACCCAGGATTTCCCATTTTTCCATACTGCCCCTAGCAAAATAAGATACCAAGGGAACATGGCAGCCTTCCATGATTGACAGGGAGAGACAACCATACACTCTTACAGGCCTGAATTCTTAATAAAATGGTTTGAGTGGTTGCTGCTGGTTTTGATTTGACATTCAGTTGAGCTTTTAAGCTATTATTACAGGTGCTAAAATTTTAGTATTAGTTATAAATCTATATTGATATACAGTGATAAAACCGCCTTAAGTGCTATGAACTTAGCCATTTAAAGAGCGCAACAAAGAATTGCCTCAACAGGTTAAGTGTGTCAAGGGATAGCACTAGAACAGAGATAATACACAAAGGCTAGATTGGCATGTCTGCATTTGGAAAAGTTAGTAGATAAATACCAAAATTTAATTGTGGCTTATATAGAGAGCTGGAATGGCAAACAATAGCTACTTTAATTTACAGATCTACGGAAAGGAAAGAAAGCATCTAAAATCTAAAGTGTTTTGCACAAATTGAAAACGATGTAGTTAAATAGGGTTTTTTTTAAACCTATTAAGTTTATGGAGCATTCTTATAGTTCAGACACTGGATGTACACCTCCATTCCAACCTGCATTTAAAGGTCATTGCTCAAAAGACAACTTTCCTAGGATAGCAATATTGTTACATTCCAGTCTGAGCCCAGCAATAACTATAAATACAAAAACCATGAGCAAAAAATTCGGCACAAAATGCCATACGGGTGAAATATCCAGACTGACTGACATGTATCTAACAGGTCAGAACTCCCGCGCATTTTGCACACCAGCATATTGAAATACAATATAAGCCCAAGAGTTCTAGTATGAGCTTGGTAGGAACTTGTTCTCATGTACTCTATAACTCAAGCTACACACTGCATGGATTGTTCTCTGAGGAAGACTATTTCTAAGAAAGATAGTATCCCTCCTTGATAGTTCTATCTGAGCTCTCAGAGAGAGACCACCTAATCAGTTCCAAGACTCTAATCAGTTGCAAAATGTGCAAGTGCAGAGCAATTTCAGAATGGTAAGTCGAAACGCTGCATCAGAAGATGCATTTAAATGCAAATTTGAATGACCACGCTGAAGTATACAGAAAAAAACCCTCAAGCCACTGGCCTTAGCAGCCTGTATGAAAGATACTCTGATCTTGGCAAGCAGAAGGCTAATAGTGTCACAGAAGAGTATGCTTTCATCCCAAAAATGTGGTAGTCTCATCTTGCTAAATAAACCTCTGAGATACGATCATCATGGCACCTGTGGGGATGCTAGAGTTTAACCGATCAATTGTTTAACCAATAAGTTAATGTGTATCAGCTGAACTCAGCCAGCTTCCAAGGAGGCAGCTTCGCTGCAGCAGTGAAGCCTCCTCCTTGGGAGCCTGGCTGCTAAGCTAAGCTTTATACTGCAGAGACTGCAGCATGTGTACCCATATATCCCGTAAAATTTTAGCAGATATGCTGTTACCATATTGAACAATTTAACATCCCTAGTCACCAGGAAAATCCACAGTCACACACACTAAGATTCAATTGTGTATGATTCTTGAGATCTAAGAGTGACTTTGGGGGCAGACTAAGCAGAAAACAAGGGCCCTCCATTTTAAAAAAGTTTAATTCTCCTCACCAAAAAAGCTACCATGGACTTTGTCTCTAGAATAAGGAAACAAAGAAGAATCCAAGCTTTGAATGGTTGATTTATCAAATCATTCAATAGCAGGCTAAAATTCTATGAACAAAGGAGGCAATGCATCAGCGGATCTAAAAACAAATCTAGGAAACTCCACATTTCCTAAAGCCTTTGAAAAGGGAGTCAGATCCTTTACTACTGAGTGCCTGCATCTCAGATGGATTAGCTCAGCCTTTTTGGCAAAATCCCCCTGAAAATAAAGTCCACCTAAATGTGGCAATGCATTAGGGTTTTCCTACCTATATTTGCCGACACATCCTCTGAGAAGGGTATACTGCAATAGGTCAAAACAGAATAACAATTCAGTGAAGTACTGTCTCTCCCCCTCCAACAGGCCTCTTGAAAATTATACCATGAACACAGGTAAAGCAACATTCTACGCAAGCATTAGACTGCACTCTTTAGTGAAGCTGTTCATTATAAAAATCTCTCCTTTACAGACCATACATCCTTGGAGCACAATGGTGTTTCAATGAACTTCTTGGTTTTGCAGGATAGCATGTTATTAACACGCCCAGTGTAAGTCAGGAGTAGGAGAGGAGAGGGTTCTGAGGAAACTTTATATTCAAGTGCTTGCCCTTCAACCACTCCCAAGTTTTCACTATCCTTCCTCAGCAGGGACATGTGGAGTAGTCTCGTAAAAAACACCAGCTCAGAATCAAAAGGATTCAACAGTACTGTGGAAGTATACACAATGAAATAATTGGAACAAAATGTTATAATGACCAGAATATGTGAAGACTGCTACGCTAGGTCCCACTGTATAAAAAGCTGAAATTGGCCTCAAAGTGGTGAAAAGCTGAGGCCATGATAGAAACACCTTATCCTTTTGGATATATCAGTAAACCTACAAAGGAAGAAATCAAGATGATCATTTTGCGAGTAATATACTCACCACCTTCAAAGCACATCTAGATGCTTGCTACTGCTAACGTGGCTTCTAATTCAGAGACAGAGTGTGAGTTATCTATGCATGGGGTTGTGGCCTGCATTTACAGACTTCTATTGTTTCAGTCACAACCCATTTCTGCCAAAGGAAAATGGTCAAAGAAAAAAGCCTAAAATCTAGGTAACAATTGTGGCCCACCACATTTAGTCCACAGTAAATGCAGTTCTTGCACGCCAAGTGACCGGACCATCAAGTCTGTTGAAGCCATCTAGACTAGTGACGTTAAAATGCATTTATGTTGGCAAATGCAACTGCTGAAATTTCCAGCAGTTAACATGTTTACACAGGAGCAGGAGGCAGCAAGGCAACTCCCACGTGACCCCCTGTGGTGCTGCCTCTAATAAAGCATTTTTTTTATGTCCTCCATTTTGATTTCCTCTTTAAGATGGTAGCCAGTCTCCTGGTCACCATCTCCTGTCAGAAAAGAGCAGGAAAAAGAAAAGGTGGGAAAATGGATCGCATGACTCTAACCTGCCTGGTAACCAGAGGATTCATAAGGGGTGTTCACCTCCCCCTCAGGGCTCTGTGTGTTATCCGCACAACCCAGCGGTGCTAGAGTGACAGCTAGCAGGCTGTTTGGCTTAGTAGGCAGTCTGGGCAAAAGCCAGCCTGGTTGCTGACAGCCCTTTGTAGTGCAGCAATCCAGTTACACAGTCGTAATGACTGCTAGCACAGGGATTATTTGTTTTTAATTAGGGAGCCTGCAGCAGGGCCAGTCAGACACACACGCATACATACCAACTTGTCTTCTAGTCTGCACACTGCACGCAGGACGGTGCGTCAAGTATAGAAGAAAGGAAGAAAGAAGATCAGACACAAGAAGACTACCTACGTACCTAGTCTCTGCAATTCCATCCTGTGACTGCTTGTTCCCTTTCCTCAGTCTGAAGATGTTCACTTACCTCTCTTCTCTGGACACTGTAGTAGGATTGTTTAGACTATTCCTATTACGGGTTCTGGCCTAACGCCAGGTTTCATTTGGAACAAATGGATTCATGCTTGCTTTCCAAGTTCAGTATTTTGTTAAATAAAACAGTTGTTGTTCCAACTATTTTTGTTGGACTTGATTAATATACCGTGATACAGATACAGTGCAGGTGTAGCACCTGTGTTCCCATAAGCAGGATTAAGTCCTGGTTTATCAATGGGGGAAAAGAATAATGTAGCACTCCGCCATTTTCGACTGTTAGATTTGTGGAGCAAACACAAAACAGTGAATCCTCTGCAGTTCTAGACCAAAATATTTTCACCTCTTATCAGAAGAGAAAGCTAAAGAGCTTGTTTTTGGCCAAGCTGAGTTTGTTAATATGTGGCCATCTGCCAGGTGATGTTAGAAAGCCTGGGCTAAAATTTAGTTTGGAGTGAGACAGATCCGGAACAGAAAAGTAAAGAGAGCAAGATTCTACATTAGCAGATTTTAATGGAGTCAGATCCTGTACTTGTATCGGTGTTTTTCTATTGTAACACATTTAGGCTGCTTTACGAGATAAGGATTCAGGCTAGGGATAGACTTAGCTTATGACATTTGCATGATTATATTTCAAACAAAGTTTACATGGGTGTTAACTGTTAAGAAAGAAAAGGACTTTTGGTGTTGTAAATATCTGAAAAAAATCCCTGTTAACAATTTACTATGTTTTAATTAGTAACACTGGAAGAACTTTACCATGGATCCTGTTTGTTTGACCTTTCAATAAGAGTTGGATTCCAGACAAGTGATTGCCATTAAGTTTTAGAATTTGTTTGTGGAGCAAGACTGGCATTAAGGCAAGATTTTTTCTATCTGGTAGAGTTCTGGCTCTTAGGAGTCAAGGGCCATACTAAGTAGCAGCAAGCACTAGATGTGATGCTAAGTATTTTTTAGGATAAAGACCTTATTTGCAAGCTCTTTAAAGAATGGAAGACTACAAACTCTGAAGCCATGTGTTAATGCGCTCTAGGTATGGGGACCATATTTTCTGAACCAAAATTAGGGACACATTAGCCACATCCCCTGACCCTTGTTAGTGACACCCCTGCCCCCACTAGCCACGCCCTTGGAGGTAACACTCTCGTGGTCAAGATGGACACGTGACCAGAAATAAAGTGTCATGCCACCAATAGGGATGAGTCTGGCTCCCACCAAACCCCCCTCATGCAACAACCCTGCAATTGCATTAACCCAATTTGTGTCACATTAACTGGGGGGAGGGGAGGGGGAAGGGGCTGGGGAAGTGTTCACTCTAAGTTTCCTCCCATGAGCAGAATGAATTGTGTGTTGTGCACCAGTACTGAGTTTATGTTGCTTGTGCCACTGTGGTACCCAAGTTATTAATAAATATCTTATAAACCTCTACCCTTTCCCTCTGCTGCTCTGTCTCCTCCCCTTACTCCCTTAGCTCCCCTGGTGCCTGCTGCCCCCCAACCCCTCTCCCTCCTCTGTTGTCCTGACTCTTGCCCTTCTCAATGCCCTTGTGGGACCTGCCGCCCCATACCAGCCCTTCTCTCCTCGCTGTGCCCACTCCTCTAGTAGCCCCACTCTGATCACTTGAGCTACCCCTCCTCATCCCCTCTCCTAACACCTCCCTCTATACACCTGCCCTGCCTCTCTCCTCAGTTTCTGGTTCCCTCCCCCTACGTGTCTGCCCTTCTACTTCACCCCCAGAATTCTGGTACTTGCACCATCCGCCTTCCTTCACTGTCCCTTCCCCCCTTTTTCCTTGATGCCCACTCCCCCACCTACACCCTCTGCCCCAGTTCCCCTCAGGCCCCTCTGTGCCTTCACACATGACTTGCTCCATCCCCGCCTTTCTTATGCTCGCCCTTCCTTTCAACCCTTCTCCTAGCACCTCTCCTTCCCCCCAATTCCCCTCTCCTCGAATCACCCTGTCCCCTCCACCCTCCCATCCCCACTGACACCTCTCCTCCCCCCTCCTGCCCTTTTCCTCATTGTCTGCACTTGGCACCCTGGCATTTGTCTCTCCTCCACCCCTGTCCCTTGGTGCCTTCCCCTTTTTTCTCCTGCCCTGCCTTCCTCCCCTCCCCTCAGCACAAGCCCCTTCCTTTCCCACCTCCCTTTCCCCTAGTTTTCCCCCTGCCCCTCTTCCACCTTCCAGTTTGCAGGGCTGGAGTCTGTGGTTGGGCCCTAGAAGTCCCCGCAGCCCCGGCCCCAGGTGCTTCTGGGGCAGGACTGCTTGACGGGCCTGGAGCTAGGCTGCCCGCGGTGCTAATTTTACTGCAGTCCCCGCACCAGCTTTGGCTCCCAATAGCAGGAGCATGGAAGGGAGGAAGCCCTCCCCAAAAACTTGGCTTGTGGAGCGCAGCTGTGTGAGCGGGTCCATGCACGGCATCTCCCCTGGCAGAGTGGGAAGGGCAGGGGGAGAAAGGGCTGTGCACAGAGCTTACCAGCAGAGCCCAAGCGCTCCCCGCTCTGCAGCGCTCCAGCCAGGCTCTGCCAGGACTCCGGTGGCAGCTCTCAAGAGCAGCTCACCAGCTCTGACCAGCACCCCTCTTCCTCCGGCAGCAGCCACCTATGGATGGAGGAGGCTGGGCTGGAGGCTGCGCATGGCGGAGGCAGTCCCACAGCTGAAGGGAAGGACCATGGGGGGCGGGAAGGAGGCATGCCGGACAGCGGCGTGTGCTCCAGGGGAGCTTGGTGCTCCGGACACTGCGCACTACCGGCAGCAGCCCCCGGGGCCCCCACACTGCCCACTCCTGGCAGCAGCCCTGGGTGCCCACACAAAGCAGCAAGGGGAGCCGCTTACGTGCTGGGTGGAGACAGGGCGTTGCTGCTGCACTGCACTAGCGCTGGGTGTCTGTGAGGGTGTCCCGAAGAGGGGGGAAATGGCGGTGCTGGATCCCAACGGATTTTCTGGGACATTTGCCACCTTTATTGGGACACCAGGACAGAACCCTTAAATCTGGGACTGTCCCTGGAAAAAAAGGAATGTATGGTCACCGTAGGCATATGGCCTCTCTTATCCTCCAGACCAGCATAAAACTCCCAACAGGAGGGGAAGGACAGGATTGTAAGGACATTTAATGGAGGCATTTAATAGGAAGTGTGGTAGACTGAGCTGGGATGCTCAATTTTCTTCCACAAGAAAATTTCTTCCCACAATTCACTTCTCCCAACAGTTATTCCAGAAGTGCCCAGTTCCCTTCTGTGTCAGTATACCATCACCCTGATTGTAATAGCAGGACTGGGGGAGACAGGAGCCTGTCGTTGCTCCAGGGGTATCACGATGGGAAAGCTGGTGAGTGTCAGTAAAATCATTTTACATGGAGCTGCTCAAACTTGATAGCTATGGCCATGGCGACTGGGGAGGGCGACATGCCTTGAGAGTGCTATTGGGACGGTGTTTCTAAATGTAACCATGTCCATTTGGCACCTCTAAAGCTTTAGAGCTTCACAACATTCTTCATTCAAAATAGTTGAAGGAGCGCTACATTCTGGAGAGTCTCAGATTTTGTAAAAGT